TTATAATCACATATAACATAAACGTCTAACTCGTATTATTGTATCATTTTTTTTAATCTTCATCAGCGATTGTCGAATGACATTAACTTGAAGTAAATGCAAATTAAAGTTCAAGAATTATTATTTGATAAACAAATACATCATTTCCTCATCAATTATTACTTGATGGCAACATATGTTTTTCTAGTGTGTTCTGAGTTTCTACAATGCCCACATCTTCTGTCTTGTCTAGATCTTTCTCAAATATCCATATCGCAATGAATTTGATTGGATTTTGGACGACCACGCTCCCTCAATAAACTCGAATTTGGTACAATCGGAAGCCAATCTTGAACCTCATCAGGGTCTTTTTCATTACCTATGGGGGGAACTCAAATTCGTATACCTTAAAAACTTCAGATAATAGGTATACGAGATCCACAAAATGGTTATAGTCTTGACGTGTATGCAAGCAAGTTGCTATCACATGAGAGCATGGATACTTTAGAGCTTGAAAAAACCCGCAGTCGCACGTTCTATCCCTTAGATTTACTCTTAATGACACAACTTCAATCCCTTGAAGAGGTCGCGACAACTCTGTGACACGAAACATTTCATGCCTTCTAGAGAAGCTTGTTACAGACATTCCATTTTATGCAGAAATTTTTTTTTCTGTAGATCTGGAATTAATCTAGGGTGATAGACATGACCCCCTTGCATCCAAGTTTGAGATTGTCCCCCGAGCTTCGTAAAAAGCGCCCCCAAACGAAAATATATAGTCTTTACCAAAGCGGCTACTGGTAAGTGACGTGCACCCTTTAATGTTGAATTGATTGCCTTTGCCAAGTTAGTCGTCATGTGTCCATATCGATATCCACCATCATATGCGTTCGTCCACATTTCTTTATCGATGAGGCTGATATAATCGTATCCTTCCTCGTTCTTCGCCCGCAAATCTTGAAGTATTGATTCAAACGTTCGAGGAAGTAGTTCGTAACCTAATCAAAAAATGTATAACTTACTAACTTGCTTTCTTTGCAAAATTAAAAGGATCGAAATAAAACAAACTACATCAGTTTCACTTACCCATGCGCACAATTAATTGACGCTCATTATTCTTCTTGTACCTTCCATGGTAGTTCGCAGCAATGTGTCGGAGACAATACCTAAGTTGGACAAAGGGTGGTTGCCACATTGGACCTAAAGACTCCATTCCTGCTTTGATCTCAGCTCTACGATCTGAAATGACACAGATGTTTTCCCTCGTGATAACATGTGCACGTAAATTTCGGAGGAAAAAACCCCAAGAATCTGTATCTTTTCCTTCGACAAGAGAAAAAACAACCGGAAGAATGTTGTGATTGCCATCTTGGACAACTGTCAATAATAAAACTTGTTTGTATTTTCCATACAAGAAAGTCCCGTCGATCTAGACCACAGGCTTGCAGTATTTGACAACATTAACACACTGTGGGTAACTCTAAAAAACCGGTAGAATTGGCATCGATCGAGAAGAACTCGATCATTATGGTATGCATAGGAGGTTTTGAAGTCCATAATTGTCTCAGGATTCAACGTCCGCACCAGCCTAAACCAACCTGGAAGTTCGTTGTAAGATGCATCCCATTCACCATGAAGTTTGACAATGGCATTTTGTTTTGCCAACCAAGCTTTTTTATAGGAGGCAGTGTATCTATACTGCGATTGTATAGCTGAAATCAACACTACAACAGCTATATGAGAGCTTTTTTTACCATGGGCATGATGGCTTAACATATCATTTCAGAGTCCAAGTTGGGATGATCTTGGTTGACCCCTCCAGCACAATATGTGTGAGGACCGTTATATACTATTAGTTCACATATGTTGTTTTTCCTCTTTATTTTTTATACGCAAACCATCCAATTGCATCTGTTTTCGTATCGGACACAGTAGCATACATATTTTTTGGTCGTGGATCAGTTGACTCTGGACTGAACAGAATTACGGATATTGTAATTTTTTATAGCTATCACCGCTTCTTCTTTGCTTGAAAACTCCATGCCTAACGATAACTCACAATTATTTATTAATGAGTAATATCCATAGTCACCGAGATGAGGCATATCCTTAAATTATGGCCCATACATTGCACCATAATCAGCTTCATACATGTGTGCAGGAGGGTCAGTTTGTGCCACATTTCCTGGAACTTCATCATCATCGGAGTTGAATTGCGGTGATTCTGGGTGAATGAATAGTCCAGTCTCAGCACCATCCACACCAGGCTCATGAAGCGATTCTTCTGGTGGAGATGATGGTTCCTCCATGCGCTCCACATTTAGGTCAAAGAACCTACTACTTGCATACCTTCCCCTTGAACTAGAAGGCATATCGATATGAGATCGAAAAAACTCGCAGTCGAATGCCTCCCCCTGGAGCTTGATGCCATCGTGTCAAATAGAAACTGAACAGATGGTTACGTCGATGACATCTCCATATTAAGGTCAAACGAATTTGCAGATGAATGCATTCCCCTTGAATTGGACGCGATATTGCCATACGGATTATTCGTCGACCCACCTCGGTACATATCGTAAGGATTTGCGGATGAATGTCTCTCCATTATGGCATTAAAATCATTATATATTACTGTCGTCGGGCTGTCAACTTGATCAACTTGTTCAGCCAACCTATAGTGGGAGCTTAATGATTGATCCCGAACGGCACGCACTTGAATAAAATTTGTATACATCTCAATATCGGCGTCTGAATAATTACTTTGAGCGTCAATCATCATTTCAACATCATCATTGTTCAAAAGTTCGAACGCTGCATAAGTTAATGGCAACAATGATGTTGGAAATCTGTACTGCAACGACGACATTCTTCTACTACTTCCAACATGAATCTTTCTCGAAATCTTCGTTATCAGCCCCTCAAGAGTTATGTTTCTCTTCAATGATATTTTAATACGCTCATTTGATACGAAAACAACGTCGGTTTCATCTTCTCGAATTTCACCATCATAATAAACGATAGCTGAAAGTCGCACCATTCTTTGAGTTTAAAAGTGCGGCAATATTATATCTGCAAAAAAAAAATAACTGAAACAATGCTGATTAAATAAATAATATATGAACGAAAATATAATAGAATAAAATTTTTACACATAAACGTAAATAATTTAAATAATATAATTTTATATTATTACCTGTACCGCAAAACTATTTCGACGTATATTCCTGCTTTCTAATTTTACAAACACAAAAATTAATTGACAACAATTAGTATAATATTTTTTCAAATAATCATAATAAACAATAAGTATAATAAAAAAATTTATCACAAAATTACCTTATAACGAAAAATCGCACGAACTTCTGAATCAAATATGAGACAATTGTCAGAATTATTGACTCGTTGACGGAATTGTTGTATTAATTTATAAGTTGAGAGGAGAGATGTGAGGAGATGTGAGGAACTTAACCGGGGGAGAAGGGTATTTATAGCCGAGAAAAGTTGCTTTAATTATACAAGGTGCGGTACTTACACCGCGCCTTATATAATTATATCAGTTAAAGGTATGACGCGGCCCCTGTCCCGCGCTATATATAATTATGTCAGAGAATTAAACGTAAGGCGCGACCCCTGACCCGCGCTATACCCTACATGGCGTAAGGCGTGCTCTAAGGGCCGCGCTATACCCACGTGTATTCCATATCAGCATATAGCGCGGTTCAGGGGCGCGCCTTACCCCACGTGGCGCCAAATCAACATATAACGCGGTACAGAGGACGCGCTTTACTGCAAAGGGTGTTAGATCGGAAATATAGTCTGACCGGTATTATATATAAATATACCAGTCACCGATAATTTTTCAAGAAAAACGCCCAGAAAGATAAATATTAAATATTTTCAAAAAAAATTAATCTTACAACTACCCTTTTCTTCACACATCAACGACTAATTATATGATCACACGTGTGACATAAAGCCTAAGTAGTTTTAGCTGGACCACTTTACACCACGTGGCGGTATCCCATTGGAGTTGACATTTAAAGCAGATCTTCGGCGTTTTGAAAATGTAGTCCTTAGGTTTTACTGTTAAATGTTTGAAATTTCGTGTCGGGACTTAAAAAAAGTTCTTAACCACTTAAATTGTGACACGTGGAAATATAGAATTTCTTGGCTTTAATTGATGGATGTTTTGCGAGGTGGAATCTACTGATTGGATGCTTCCATTTTTCATTGTTACCCTCATTTCTTTGTTTCTTCCCCCCCCCAAATTAAGATAAAAACTTGTACAAGAATTTATTAGTGTGTTAAAATTTGTAAAAGACTTTATTGATTGTGTTAGAATCTGAATTAATGATTTTAATAGTTTTATTTAAATATTATATAAAATATAAAGAACTAAATTATATTAATAATTTTATTAATTATCATTCAAAATAAAAAATCTAATTATTTTATAGGTAATAGTATAAGAATAGTACTCATTTTATATTTATTTAGTTAAATGACACCCAAACAAATTTTATTTAAGAAAATCGTATTTCTTGGTAAAGACGCACTACATGGGAAGCACGTTTCGGAAAGGTGCAGTGTTTTGCCGGCATGACAGGCTTTCCGTCCATAATCTCCAACGTTCACATCACCCAAGACCAAAATGAAAGAAACGAGAATCATAGATCAAAAGAGCATTAGCACAAGTCGACCTTGACTGCGAGGAGGATGACACACATGCATAGGTTTTATCTTCCATCACTCAACAAATGTATGTTTAGAAAATTATATTTAAACACATAAAAGACTCGTACATAAAGATTGTTGGATTTGAGTTGTCAAAGACAATTTTTAAATTTATCAAATTTACCATATAAAAAAGTCTCAACTTATGCACAATAAGTATACTAACCGATGTCGTTAATTGCAATGCAAATGTCAAATATTTGAAGGATGAAGGAATACATGATAACCAACAATGAACACAATATACAATAAACCACACAGCCAAAACAGAATGAGTCATGAGCAAATATGCCACTTAAAAATACGTAAATTGCAGTTACCAGACATTCTCATTTTCTCCTAAATGTAACTTCAAAGTCATGAGTATATTGCTTTATTCACATGATGGAACATCGATCATAGTATAACCTCGTTAAAAAAAAAACGAACAAGTGTACCCATCGCAAGACTGTATGTGTGTGAAGCATGACAATATCAGTACACACGGGATCTCGAATTCGAAACAGCATCCGGGATTGTACGAGTCAACGGTAAAATCTACTTTTAAACTTCCACATCTGTGTAAACCTGTAGTTACCTCTTGAAAACTTTGGTTTATTCTCCAACCACTTTCCTATAAACCAACTGTTTTAAGAGATGGTTCATCCCACAGCTCAAGTGGAAGTGTTTGCCGAAGGTTTGTTGTCTTGGAGGGAGATGACGGTTTCGAAGGCGCCAACCAAGGCCTTAACCTTACTTTTCCGGGTTTCAACGAGTTTACTAGCAGTTTCTTCGATGACGTTGTTAAACAAACCCTTTTCGTCTTTCTTCCCCTGCAAATCTTGGTGTCTCAAAACAACTTTTTCCCCACCGGGTTGGTTGTCATTCATGGAACCATCATGTTCTCTTGTCCTAAGGGTTCTCCGCTCACCCTTAGCATTTTGGTTTCCCCCAAGTAATCTTCCTCTCCTGAACTTAAGCCTCCTTGGACCATTATTCTCGGATTGAATTTCAACGATCTTTCCTCTCCTAAAAGATAATTTCACAGGTTGACAATCCTTTCCATCAGAGATTACCATCCTAGAATTTCTGGGCCTTCCTTCATTTTCTCCTTCCAAAATTTCAACTTCTTCTGTATTTACAGTTTCACCTTCATAATATTCAGAGTCAGAGTCATCCGTATACTCAGACTCATCTTCATCCCTAGTGCCATGTGATGACAAAGGTGGAGACATTGGCAGAGTCGATGACTTGGGTGATGAAATGATGGGTGGAGACAATTCAGCGGCACAATTTTCATTTTTATCAGATTCCAACAATATATTTTCCAACTCCGTCTCGATAACATAAATGGTTTTCTCTTCAAGTGCATCATTATTGCATACGTCAAGTTCATCGACAGGTTGCTCAGTTTCAGCCTTTTCAACCTTGTTCCGATTCTTCTGTAGAGGCACCACTTTTAGGTTCAGGTTCTTTCTTGCATTTAGGCTCGTAGCTCTAGCAAGAGAAGCTCTTGGAGACAATGAGGCTCTCGGTGATGATAATGCTTTCTTTACAGAGACTTTGGCGGTATTTTTCCTTTTTGCCATCTTCATATCACTAACTCCATTGCTCTTCTTAACACTTAAACCTTCTGATGGGACGGAAGGAAGCATTTTGGCTTGAGATTTCAGCTTCGAAGTGCCATGCAATTTAGAAAAGCTTTTCTCTTTAGCTTTCAATGAGACTTCTACTTTCTTAGAAGATGGTGATCCGCCCTTCTGCATGGCTTTTGGGGCATTGGAAGAGCTGGATTTTATATTGGGTGAAGATCTGAGTTTTGCCGTTGATGCCTTTTCTTCCTTTGACAGTATTCTGTGTTTCTTAGAAGTTTGGCTGCCTGTCGAATTTGTTGACACTTCTAGGTTGAGGACACCGGACCCATCATGACGACTATTGGAATTGGGTGAGTGATTGGGCTTAAGCTTTGCTGCTGACATCTTTTCTTTCTCCGACAAAACACCATGAACCGTAGAATTATTTCCATCAGGAGAGCAGTTGGAAAGCTGAAGCTCCATGGTCTCAGGCATATCAGGGGTATGAGATCGGGAATTGGGGAAAGATTTGGATTCAGTTGCGGTTGTCTTCTTCCTCTGCTGTAAATCTAAGCTCCGGAATAAATTTGGGTCACCAGATGGCTTTTTTGTATTCCTCTTCCGGAAGGGATGTTTAGAGTTCTCTTCAGATTCATGTTTCTTTCCATATTTGCAGAAATCATGACACGAAGCAGTAGAAGCTCTCAGATAACGAGGAAGTGTTTTCTCTCTGATGCTCACTGAATCTGCTCCAGCTAAGGATTTTCTTCTCGAACTTCCCTCATCTGGCCCGGAAATATCTAGTGCCACTGGTGAACTCTCCCCGGCCATCGAATATGTAGAAGTGAATCAAAGCTAAGAAAACAGATAGTCCTGCAAACCAACCAAAGCTATATCAGTCCATCGTAGACCAGATACATGTATAAAAAGGATTGCTAGATGAATGAAGAATATAAAAGAACCAATCTAGCTCTGTTCTGCTATTATCTCAAATACCATTTAGCTCGAGCGATTAACAATATTTGTCTGCCCCGGAGAACAAGACAGAAAGAACAAAGATCATTACGAGCTAGTTGCTATGATCAATTTAATCTTGAAGTTAACTTCAGTGACAACTAACAGAAACAAATTAGAAAGACAATTTTACAACAATCGGCATGAACTAGAAAGCATATAACAAGAAGGACATAAAAGAAAGAGAAATAAAAGCATTTCATATATAAAACAAATGACCTTTGGTTTTACCATACATATTCTATTCTTGTTCTAGAAATGCCATATTAAAAGAATCATTTGGCATATCCAGCTTGATTCAACTGTAAACATTAATGCATTCTTGGATCAATTCAACTGTAACAATCAAAATGGAAAGTTTCTGGGAAAAAAACATAAAATATACAGTACCACGAGGTTTAGTGTTCAATCCAACAGTTAATTACTACATGTACAAAAGAAAAATCTATTTTTTCATTTTTATTTATAAAAATAGGGTCACAATTGTTTTGGGGGGATTACATTGATGGGAACAAGCAAGTTAGGCAAAGCAATAAAAGAAAGGGTTGAAGAATTCACTAATCCACCAATCCTAGAAAATGATAAATAACCCATCAATGAACACTATCTCTCACCTAAAATTCATACCAAAAAGAAACACAAAATCAAAGCTAAATTTCCACTAAGATCATAACTGAACCAAAAAAAAATTAAAGAGCTTGATGAAACGGAAACTTTAACCAGAAAAAATGAACAAGAAAAGAATTTTCCATCTTTGAAGAACAAATCAAACAAAATAAGAGAAACCACAAAAAACAAAGCAGAATAAACAGCCGATTATGACTTGAAGTCCACCTCGAAGAAACCCATTGTTCAAAACAATCGAAAAACCCTTGTAAACGACGAAATGAAAGAGAAGGGGAGAGAAGAAGGAAGGGGGAGTTGTACCTTTATATATTACGGCTGAGGAATGCAGACTGCTTAAGCAGAAAGGTAAGGCAACTGAACATAAATGAAATGAAAGAATTGTTTTAGCTTTTGGTATGGAAGCTCACGAAAAGGTTGCTTTTTTGCTTGAAGATCGTGCAAGCAACTGTTTGATTTTTTTTCTTTCTTCCGGGGCTGCGTCTTTCGTTTGTTTTGGTTTTGGCTTTGCTTTGCGCGTTTGGTTTGTTGCAGATTTCTATGCAATAAGTGGGACCCAGTTACGAAAAGAGTCAGATATTGTACATAAATCTCCAAATTAAACCACCTCGATAATAAATAAATTATTGATATTTTTTGAAGTTTTAGATTTAAGTATAATAAATAATATGGACGTAAATTTTCAGTGTTATATAGGGTGATTTGATTTAACTGATCCGTTTTTTTTTAAATTCTCCTGTTCTAATATTTGTTGATTAATATTTTTTGATATAGTACCCTTTCAGTTGAGGTGACATAAAGACGCATCTTCGGAGATGTGTTTTACCTGAGTTTATAGTAAGTCAGATGCCACGTGTAAAAGATGCATCATCGGAGATGCACTTTCACGGGATTATGCTAGATCGGACGCCACGCTGGTATTCCTTTTAATAATAAAGATTTTATTATATTATTATTATTATAAATAATTAATATATTATGTAAAGATTAAATGTGTAATTATACTAATTTTATTAACTTATGCATCAATATTTTCTTTAAATATTAATAACAAATTACTATATTGATAACATTTAAATAATTATGTAATAAACTTAATAGATCGAAAATAAAAAAAATAGATATATAACAATAAGTGTAATATTATAATTTCATACATTTTTCATATAACTACAATAAGATCAAAGTTTGTTTTTATCTATTATTTCATCTGATTAATGTCGCGTGGAATGAGTAAATGCCAAAGTCTCTGAAACATATAACACTAAAACCTAAATTCGCTTCACCTTTAACACACATTTAAAAAATACATTCGATAATTCTTAAATTATAATCGAAACACTTTACATAATATATTAATTATTTATAATAATAATAAAAATAAAATCTTTATTATTAAAAGAAAGACCAGCGTGTCATCTGATTCAGTAAAACCCATATAAAGTGCATCCCCGGGGATGCGCCTTTCACACGTGGCATCCGACTCAGCATAAACCCAGGTAAAGCGCGTCCCAGGGGCTGCGCCTTTGTGCCACCTCAGCCGAAAGGGTGCTACTTCGAGAAATATTGGTCAACGGGTGTTAGAACGGGAGAATTTAAAAAAAAATGGGTCAGTTAGGTCAATCAGCCGTTATATAGGGGGTTGCTAAATAAAAAGACCTACGAAACCCATAAGATTAATAATAATTCCTGCTTATATATGTTAAAAAATATCAGCAAACTGTCCACGTAAGATTAACTTGCGTCCTATGAAATTTGTAGTAATGTCACATGTTTTACAAGGCGTGAGGTACGTCCGACATGAATGTACTTTTCACATAACATTATTTATATTGCTATTAATGACTTCGTGTTACAAAGAACACAAGGTTTACGAGATATCGAATCGTCGCGATAGAATTTATCACGAGTGGTATTCCACGTACCTCACGTTTTCCAAGACACGAGGTATGTTGTTTGCCAGCCCAATTCCCAAGCTCTTATAGGCGTGTTCGAGTGATATTTTTGGGTATTTAATCTCAAAATTTTCGTAATTTATAAGATTACATGCGTAATATTGGAATTTATCTTTCAATTGAAATAAATATTGAGACATACAAAATATTTTAAGCAGTTTAAAATCACGTTGAAAATGGTTCCAAAGATTGTTTTGTGCAAGTTGAAATTATATTTTGATATAACAAATAAGAGTAAAATATTTTTGGACTTAATTGAATTTGGTACGTAAGGAGGAATTTTTGCCAAAAACTATTTTTCAAAGGTTTTTTTATATCAAAAAGGGGAGATTGTTGAAATTATATTTTTATATAACAAAAGGGTAAAATATTTTTGGACTTAATTGAATTTATTCAAATGATTCAAAAATAATTCAAAGTCCACAAAATAAAAAAATGTTTTCAAAGTATTTTTGACTTAATCTACACCTTAGAGTATGTTTAGAAACTCAAAATAAGTCAAAATATTCAATTATTGGTGTAAGGTTTCGAATCCTCTGAGGCAGAATGCTCAAAGTTTCAAAAATTTTAGCCTAGTTTTGAAACCCCCTTGTACATGGTTTTAAAACCCCCATCCTGGTTTCAAAACCCCATGTTCTAATGGTTACATTTTTTAATTTCAAAACCACTGTGCAGAAATACTAAAATTAAGGGGATTAAAGGCTTCCAACAACTCCAAAACATCTCCAACGCTTAGAAACGACCACTAGCTCATTCCATCATATGAAAGCAACCCAATGACACTTGAAGAAGGTTATTACACCTAGCCAAGCTTAGAGATCAAGAGAAAAAAGTTTTCATTCTTATTTACTTCATTTTTCTCTTATACATAAGTGTATAGAGCCTAATTGCATATCCTTTGTTTTTATTCTTGTGAGGTTAATCATTGTAAACATCTACCTTGAGAAGTCTTCTTGTTTACACAAATCAAACCTCGAAAAACAAGAGTGGTTCTAGTTTAGCCTTAGAAAAACTAGAGTGGTTATATCTTAGCCATTAAAAAGATATAATTGTAAGGTTACATTTTATCCTTAAAGGTAAGAACAAATTAGTGAATTTGTTGAAATCCTTAGTGGTGGAAAGATAAGGTAGTGGATGTAGACTTTGGTTGAGAAAGTCGAACCACTATAAATCAATTTGTGCCAAAAAAGTTTTATCTTCCATTCAAGTTTCTATCAAACTCTATCAAAGCCAATTCAACCCCTCTTGGCAGTTTTCGGTTGATCAACCGCATAAAGAAAAGGCTAAAATGGTTTGATAGGCATATTCGAGGCCTTTTTGGGTGTTTAATCTGAAAAATTTCGTGATTTATAAGATTAGAGGCGTAATATTGTAACTTGTCTTTCAATTGAGAGTAATATCGATACATATGAAACATTGTAAGTGGGGCGTGTTCAAAATGGTTCCAAAACTTGGTTTTCTACATGAAGAAGAAGCTAACATGGCTTCATAAGCATGTTCGAGACAAGGTAAAAATCATATTGTTGAAGAATAACTTACACAAATTAATAATTAGAACTTAATTAACAAATTAAACAAATTTTAACATTATATTTGATTTGATGATATATAAATTATTTGATACGAGGGTGTGATCGATTGAGACATTTGTTCTTTGAGTGATCGAGAATCCTACAAATACTGCATAGCTTCGGTTTTTCGGTTCTTTCTTGATGTTCGACCAAATCCTCGTCACAGTAAATCTTCGTTGATGATGGATGACCATTTCTCTTGCATCATAGTGTAAAATATAGCCTTATTGTAAGTTCATCATCAACTTCATTCATTTCCAATTAGAGAAAACTCGCACTGATACACATTGAATATAGTTTCAAGTAAGTATATGAGATAATGAATTGCATTTAGTTGACCCGAAAAAAGAACAAGCATTAATGACATGCGAACACAAGTATTTGAATATTTGGAATACTCTGCAGTCGTAAGTTCTATCACGTAGATTGATGACATATGCATTGTGATGTATGTCTTCCAATGGCCTTGAATATTCTGAAACACATAATTTATTTTGTTCATGAGAGACGCATGTCACATTCATCCTATTTGTTTGATGCAGAAAGGTTTACAATCTTTTGTGAAGGTCTGTGATGATTCTGTGGCCACCTGCAATCAAGTCAACTGCTTGCCTTTCCAAGGTTGTAAATAGGGTTGCCAACTGATAATATATTGCTTTGACAATGAAAGTGATAGAAAAATGTCACACTCCCTTCACCTCAGCCAAGTTCGTTATCAAGTTACCATATCGTTTACCCCTATCAAATGATCAAAGACATTTGTCCCTCGGGATATTAACAATGTAGTTGTATCTTTGTTGATTCACGAGTCTCTATTTTTGAAACAACTCCTCAACCTTACATACAGAATGTGAGTAACCTAGACACTAAAAATGCAACATTTAATTATAAATAATAAATGAAAAGATATCTGAATCCCAAAAGAGTGAAAGACATACATATTCAAAGCACCATTATGCGTTCATCTTTGTTCCTAAACTTTTGAAATAATTTGTAGCAATATGGCGTAAACAGTACCAGTGATAGATATGGGGAGGTCAGTACCATATGCTCTATTGTGTATATAATCCTTGAGTATTTGTCAGAAATAAGACTTATCCCACTAGAACGCTCATATAAAACATGTGATAGAACATATTTGTGCAAGTACTTAAGGAAAAATTCCCAAGACTCTATGTCTTCTTTTTAGACTGTTGTGAAGATGATGTGAATAGTTTTCCTATTGTCGTTTTGTGCAACCGCCAATAACATTATTTGTGTGTATTTTTCGTAAAACCATGTGCCGTCGATCTGAAACATAGGCTTGCAGTGGCGGAATGCATTACACTACAACAAATTTATCAATTTGTGACGAAATTTCTATATGACGTTGCGTATAACGTCGCAAATTATAATATAACATGACGTTTTTTTTTCATTTCGTCATATTTAGTGATTAATGCTATATCTTTTATGATTATTTCAAAAATAGTCATTGATTTTCGTCACTATATGTTTGGTGCCAAAATTTTCCTGCCAAAATTTTTGGTGGAAAACCTTATAATGACATTTAGATAAAATAGTGACGTTGTAAAATCGTCTCCAATAGAAAAAAGTATTAGTGACATTTTATTATAATGACGATGCGATTTGAATTCGCGACGTTGCACATTTGTCACTAATAAATTTTATTCATGACACTTTGATTCGTCATATTTTATATGACATTAAAAGTGGTGTTTTATTATTCTCATAAAAAATAGATTTAGCATGACAAAATCAACTATTTGTCACTCATTGTTATATCTTTTTTATATGATGATTTTTAAAGACATCATGAAATTATGTCACTTAATGTTTTGCACCAAGAATATTTTATACCTTATTGTAACAGATTGAAAATATTTTATACCAAGAGTGACAGTGGTAGAATTCGAACTTGGCCTTACAAGCTTAAATTCA